GTGTTCATATTTTTTGTTTTAACGAGATGTTGCACATCATGGCAATGATGTAAGGAGGAAACCTATCTCGAGGTTCACATAAACAAGAGGTTTTAAAATGACAAATGGTGGCAATATACCGTCTTATCATATTATTAATATTATAAAAACAGTTAAATGTAGTCTCTTTCTTACTGTTACTTGTTTGATCTCGTTTTAGCATCATTTGCAGATCTGTTAAAGAGCATGGTTTTGTACAAGTATTGTATGTAGTGCCTATAGAAGTATTGTTCTACTCTTGTTTAGAAAATGAACACGTTGTCCCTGAAAATAGATTTTTTACTATATTTGGTGTGGAATGAAACATTCCTCCCCATTGTTGCCATATGAAGGGAAGAAAATTATACATGCATTTGAAGTATGTAAAATTGACACTTGGAATGTCTAAAATATTCGTGACGAAGGTTATTTTGTCACGAGAAAATGTGTGGCCACCACATACAGGGTCCTGGCTTTAACAGAGGGAAAGTAGCGGTAACTTGTGTAGATTACTTCTTTATAGATCTTTCCGACACATTAGAAACACTTGCCATTTAAGCATGTTTGGAGTGCACTGGAATGTACAGTGTTTGGTTTTGTGTGTTTAGAAATTTAGTTTTGCATTATTTGTTGAGGAAACACCTCTGCAGCCACTGTCAAGATTCACAATTTGTGTGTGTGTGTGTGTGATTCAGATGCATGAAATGTGTCTAAACACCAGAAATCTCCAGCACCACCCAAGATGTTTTTCTTTCAGATTTGATAGATACTTTGAAAATCTAAGCAACGTATAATGTTCTCTTGGGCTACCAGCCATGTCAGATGGCTAAAAGGTGAAAGAACCAACGTTTCAAGAACCATCTCTGCCTTTGTCCTAAGGGGATTGTTTTTCAAATTATTTTTTTGCCTTAACCACCTGACACTGCCAAATCACAGTGAAAGCTCCAAAAAGCAGTTTCCAAAAATGAGCATAGATCAGTACAGTTATTTTATATATGGCCTATTTTTAAGTGCACTTTCTGGTGACCAAAAACGAAGTGGGGTGCAAAGTAAATTTCATTTTGCCTTATAGGTGCAAGTTAAAATATTCAGTACTGTGGTCTTCATTTCATCATTCAATTTAGTTGTCCTTTTGGACTTTTCTAAACAGAAAAGATGGTCCTTGACATTATAAGATTTCCTTCATGATTATTCTACATTTGATGTCTGCATGTTGTAGTTTGAAAATTTTGACTACTGTTTATGTGTAAATTGTTTATGGTTGATTTGGTTATGAGTTAATTAGTATAAAACATTTTTCTTTGAATATCTTGGTATTTCGCAGTTTCAGTAATGTACTGAATGGGATCGTGATACAGAAAAAGAAACTTGTACTACTATTTCAGAGATAAATGTACAATATATATATATATATATATTCTCCCGAGTGTCTCTTGTAATCAGCATTTACATTCAAATTCTAAACGATTCTAAACAAACTCCTTCAACGAATAACAAATTCATATTGCTTTATCATCAAGCTATTCTAATCGCCTGTTCCCATGTACGATCTGAAGCAGTTCTTCACGAGACTCATTATCACAGCCATCATTATGGTTGTGGCCTACTTTAAGGTAATATCCCATCATTTGTTTGGAGGGAGTCAGCAAAACCACGAAAAACCTATTAGGATTGCCGGTCGTCGGGCTGATATTCGAACCCGGGACATTCCGAATGTGAATCAGGAATGCTAACGAACCACCATCCCTTTGTCAACAGCCTTCGATTTCTTTGAAGTCGAAGCTCACCCAAATAACATTTAAGAATTCAGTCCGTACCGCAAAGAAAACACCACACTTCACCAATACAAAAATAAAATGTTTAACGCTGTTTAAGGAAATAATAGCTGTTTACAGTAATAATCATACGAAATACATATATATATATATATATATAAAAATGAAGAGTTAATGATTGGTAAAGTATGTGGTGCATATAGTTACCACTCGAATTCAAAAGGGTTTTAATTTGGCAATTGATATTCTTGCGAGGAGCGTTTCAGAAGTGAATATCGTAAACCATATTTATCATGACTCATAGCAAGAGAGGTTTACGCATTAATAAAACAATTCATGGGGGGGGGGGCCCCAAAACATGTCAGAGTTGAAATAGTAGAATACAGTAAACCAAATTCTCTAACTCTGAACCCTGATATTCGCACGAGATGGGATCAGCTTTGCGAGTGCTCACGAAACCAAAATGAAAAATATCTCATATATACGCTGTTATTTTTAGAAATTTCTATCTAGTGCATTATTTTAGTTCTGTCTGTTGACTTTTTCCCCCCTCGACGTTCTTTGTACTGAAGCAGAAAAATTTCCAATTCGTTCATCCGTAAGCGGTATTATGATCCCTATAAATGGAAGCCAAACAATAGTGACCTGACAGTCGAATCGGATTTTGAAAGTCATAAGGACTCGTTCAATGGCTGGGCCCACAAATGTGACAGGTCCGATACAAATGGAACCTCTGGTTTCTTTAGTTGGTACCAAGATATCTGGCCCGCCCGGCTCACAGATGGAACAAAATCATTACGTCATTGTGCGTCCATTCCATTCTTCTACGCATGAAACCTGAAAGCCCGTATCATGAGGTTCGATCATTGAACTGAGCTCAAGAAATTTCCACCAGGATGAATTCTCAAGTCCACACAGTCACATGTCTAATAGGTAGCAAAAAGGAAATTTGTCTAGAGGTAAAGGCGGCCGTAGAGGAAATCTGACCTCTCGTCACGAGTTAGAAAATATATGCATAATAAGTGTGGCGCTTTCGCCAAAATTTTACCACTGTTGTGAGATTTTTAAAATGGCAGAAATTTACTATTTTGTAACAGAATACTCTCGTGTTTTTCCTCAATATCTCCACAGTACTTTCGAATATTTCACGACCGTCTTCTATAAAATC